TTTTTTTTCATGCAGCATCACCGGGAACCAGTCACTGTAAAATGTTAGAAAACGGAAAGGAAAGGACTTTTGCAGTTGAAGGAATAAATATAGAACTGAAGTGTATTATCTCTGGTAGTGAGCCCTTAAAGAAAACATGGACTAATGGACGGCAAGTGTGGAATGACAACACTGTCACATTTGAACCAGTCAACAGGAGAGATACTGGTACTTATAATCTGACAGTGAGCAACGGAGAGCAATGTAACAAAGCAGAAACGAGTTTCAAATTTGATGTATATTGTAAGTATTCATCACATTTTTCTAAGCTATTAAGGCAGTTTATGCCATTGGAAAATCACTTGTTGCTATAAAAGCCGCCGTATCGAATTTCATTGATGCCGAGTGTTTCTCCGTGTTGTGGGCATGTTTCTGGGCCTGATCCCTAGCAGTTAGCGGTCATAGTTAGCTTAAGTAAGTTAGCATAAGTTAGCTTATTATTTTTCCAGATGTTCCAGAATCTACAGCAATGGAAATCTATCCAAGCAAGATTACATTTTGTCGTGCAGATCAGATCTACGTTAACTGTACAGCAAGTGCAAAACCACAGGCTAAATACTCATTGTATCAAAACGACGAACTGAGCAGCAGTAGTAGGAGTGGCATTTTTGTTGTCGATTTAAATACTTCAGGCAACATCTCCTTTACGTGTGTACCGAGTAATGAAGCTGGATATGGGGAAAATAGCAGCGTTACACGGGAAGTGAAAGGTGTTTATAAAATTGTACTTTTGTTAGCGTATAATAATATTAAGCGGAAAGAGTTATTTAGAATATATTTTGGTTTGTTTGCCTCTTTTTAAACAGGCTTACATCCTCCGGAACTGATTGTATCTAGTAATAAAAGCTACAGTCAGTCCAATCCACTGGTATTGTTCAACCTTAGCATCAACGCATGTCCCAGTAACACATCCCTGTCTTGTAATCCTTCTGCACCGAATATATTGACTACCATCACCAGCCATGATGCAGGATTAAATGGAAAACAGTATTTGGTGGTGGTTATCATCCAGAATGATGTGGACAGTGCAAACATTGTATGTAAAGCTGAAAATAGCGTCGGTGTACGAGAAAGGACATTGCATTTTTATAGACAAGCAATACGTGAGTAATGATAAGGAGAATTACAAATGTCATAAGCTTGAGCTGATTCTGTCCTGATTAGATGAATTTGCTTTGATCTACATTACAGTATTGTTGGTAATAATAAAATAATCTTTGATTTTTTTACTTCGTGTGCAGATCCCAAAGATAATTCCCCGATTCTAATTGAAAAGCAGAACAAGACACTATTTACAGTTCTT